GGATATCGGAATACAAAGTTATGATAAAAACACTGAAAGAAGGTGCAACTGCTTGTTTAAAACAAGAAATTCCGCTACATAGTCCGTTAAAACAACAAATTCCGTTAGTTTTTCCGTTAAAAACAAGAAATTCCGTCACATAACCACTTTTAATATATAGAAGATTTTTGATATTGTGACATGTGACGACAGATGATTGGACAGTTTCAAAAAAAAATTACACTTTCCCGCCCAATACTTTTTGAACTCTCACACAATGTCAAAAAAGATGTAATTCATTGAATGTACACTTAACATAATTCAAAGAACAAAGGATGGCATGAACGTACTCGAAGTACTAGAATGTGGACAACCTCCTATCTGTGTCGTATGTTGTTGCACTTTTATCTCTCAAAGTATACAGACCAGTGAACAAGTAATATAATATTCTTGAAATTTGTTTGTCGATTGCATTTTAATTATAATTAAACCTAGTTCACAAGGTTTCATCATAAATCCTAACAACAAAGAGTCTAGTCGTACATGATTGAAATTCAAATATACATGGTTTTAATGGAATGCATGACTAATCAAAAAGCCACAAGCTTAAACTTTTGCTAGTCTCGAGTAAAACTATCACCTCATCAAATCTAACGCAATGAAAAGAATTTTTACAATTATTGCCTATGTTCAACCAATGTTGAATGAAAGAATGATCTCTCAAATATTTTTCAATGCCGACCGTCAATAACCAAAATTCTACTAATTAACCTTCTCATGAAATGTGTTAAATAAGAAATTATTATTGTTCACCAAGATGCCACGTTATACCTTGTCATCACGTGCCCATGTCATAAAATGAGCATTTAGACCTCGATCGCCGAGGTCTACTGGAATGATCATTTATGCCTTGATCGTTGAGGCCTACCTGATCAAAAGAACGGCTCGATCGCCGAGACTTGCCTAAATAAAGGAATATATTTATGGCTTTAACACTTGACTAAATTATTAGAGGCCACGAATAGACTCGGACATGGGTGGAACTCATCTCATTGTGAATAATGATAAATCAACCATGACGTTGGCGAATGATGCCTTTATGTGCAAATCAAGTGTTGCGCGAAAAATGTCACAAATATAAAAACATCAATAAGATTTGACTTTAAGAAATACTATCTATTCTTTGAGGTTAACAATTTAGCGTCGACTCTGGATAATAATGCCAAAGCCACGAGAGTCGAAAAAAGTAAGGAAAAAGTAAGCCAAAGAAAGTGAGTGGATGTGGATCATACAGTGATGAAAATCCAAGAAGAAATGGGCACAAAAGTCCTGTTGCTTCAGCAAAAGGAAACAATTGAAGAAGAACAAGAAGAAACCAAGGCCATCAAGTACAGTGGCAAAGTTAACATGAACAGTAGCTGATATGGCAACTAACATGCAGGATTTGCTGATAAGAGTGCCTTCGTTAAGCAGTTCTTAGTGCAACATGGACATGCATTTTTGCCTCTCCAAGAGGATGGAGACGTTAGAAGAAATAGGGAACATACAACTTTGGTAATGACGAATATGTCCATTTCTCTGAGGCGATCAAAATGTTGGGAGGGCCTAACAATTTACAATGCTAGAAATGTAAAGCATTAAGGGAAAGCCAATCACATCGATCATATCCAAAAGTATAATACTCACATGAATTTTCTAGGAGCCAGCCTTGGTGCACGAATGCCGAGGCTTTCATATTACACTCTTTGGAGGAGCCAAAAAATGGTACAATAAACTTGTTCCATACATCATTTGTAGTTGGCTCGATCTAAAGAACTAATTCATTCACATGTTCATCGTGGGAATGGAAGGCTTGGCTGTCGGAAAGATCCATATTATGAGGTAAGATTCGAGAGTCTTTGAAGAGCTATCTCATCCATTTCACCCACGAGATAGTTGATGTGGAAAGCATTTTGTAAGATTAATTTTTTAGGCTTAAGGTCTAGTTCTGGAATAGACGAATTCCTTTTGGAGAGACGTTAAAATTGAGGATCCAAAATGCATGATAAATTGGTAGCATAATCAAAGAGGGGATCCATGATCAAGAAATGGTAAGACCTGATGATACACAGCAGAGGTTTGGTCGTACGAGAGATAGGGGAAAGGCTCCAATATGCCAAATTAGAGGGCCTGCCTCTTTGGTCATGGTAAAACTACCAAGCAACCATAGGAAAAATTGATGTCATCCTCGTAATCACCATGAATGTATTGAATGCGTCCACAACGATCGCATTTGATAGAAAGACGTGCTTCTACTGTGACCTCATATGAATGAATATCCATATCAACGCACTTGAAAGTATATCTCAATTAAATATGCATAATAGGAGTTGGGTTCAAACTGACCATTTTACCCCTCATATCTTTCTCTGCATATCACATTTTATAAATTGTAATCCATTCATGATTCGATCACAAATACAATAATTCACTAAATTCTTTACTCAATCACTAAACGCTTAGATTAGCTCAAGTATTCAAAAATGTTCAATGATCGATGTTCATCTAACAAAGAGTTATGAATTCCTTCTTTTGAATATATATATGTAAGCCCGTATGGAAGTACCGAATATTTGTAACATTATAATCTTACTCGTTAATACATTAAAGGCTAAAACAAAACCATGAAAAGACACGTTCATAAATAGTGACATTTGCACAGAAGAAATTCCTATTTCTCCTACGCATTATTAAGAGATCATTAGTCTTTCTTTATTCATATAAATTGCAGAAATTAACATAAACCTCAGCTGTGTAGAAGTTGCTTCTCTTAAACATTATATAAAGCTTTGATTCCCTGTATATCATCAGCATGCAGATTTTTTGTCACTCCAGCACTAATTCTCGCATACATGATTGCATCTTCGACAGAGCTGTGCCCAAGTCCAAGAAGATGCCCAATTTCATGTAATGCTACAGTTTCAAGATCATGTTGACCTGGGATGGCACCAACGGACCATGATTCATCTGCATCATAGTGAAACCTCCCATCAGTTGGTGCAAAAGCATGAGCCAGGATCCCACCTCGGCCATCGAACGGTGCTCCATCACCATGATTACGTCTATGGAAACCAATGACTAAATCTGCATTTTGAATATTCTGAGCCAATGAAAATTTAAAATGTGTTGCAGAAGCCCATTTTTCAAGGGCTCTTGAAACGGGTTCCTTGGCTTCTGCAGGAGTAGAGCGTGAAAACTGATAAGTTAAATGTGTTGAAGAAGATGGCCATCTAGGGTTTTCCGGGAAGAAACTGTAATGCGACACCGTATGAATGGAGCTTCTACCTCCTCCATGGCTATACTGATTTTTCATTCCACCTACTCGCATTCTGGTTGTTCCATTGATAATGTCTGCCACCCCACATCGAGGTGTCATCATTTTCGACGCCGTTTCAGAATCTAAAATTCCAGTGGCATTTATATGATAATTGAACTGGTAGGTTTTGATTGCAGATTCTAATAAATCATCAAACTCGTCATCATTCTCATGGGTTTTGTTTCTTGAATGATGATAATCAAGATAACCATATTTTTCGAGGTATTTTTTGAGTTCTTGAATGCCCTTAATTTTTTCACCCTTGTGGCAGCCCTCCAAATGTTTGATGAAATCAAAGGGCGGTGATTTTTTGCTATTTGTCCTCTCTGTTTTCTTCGCATTGCAAGAGACAAGAAGAACTAGGAAAATGAGAAATATGCATGAAAAAAGAGCAGAAATTTTAAGAGCCATATGTGAGTTTAAAGGAATACTTGAAGGATGGTGTCATTATAATTAAGTTATGGACTATTTATAGACTTGGGGTTGTTGCAAGGGTGGAAAAGAAGGTCAAGTGATGATTTTTATTTTTGTATTTTTTTTTTATTTGAACTTGCGAAGGAAAATATATATTTTGCGTCAAAAAGGGCGACATCTAGAAAAGGGGAAACAGCATTCTGCATCTAAAATGGAAAGTCGAGAAATGAATATCAAGGGATAAAGGTGGATGACCAACTTGAGTTACTCTATACCCCAAGGACCACTCTTGCAATTTACTGAAGGATAAAAAAGTCTTACAAATAGTAAAAACTGTAGAAATTTATGGGCCTAACTCATCTCACAAAATCGGTTCAACAAGAGAGGTTTGCCACATTATTTACAAGATGGCCCAAGNAAACAGGCCCAAGACATTGTCCACAGGCGATGTTGGATTTATTTCCATCACCCTCCCTCACGTGTAGGCCAGTAATTTTTCTGGTCCTTGTCACGGGGTAAGTAGTGTGGGCCCACATCAATCATGTGGTAGACTCTGATACCATGTAGAAATTTATGAGCCTAACTCATTTCACAAAACCGGTTCTGCAAGAGAGGTTTGCTACATTGTTTATAAGCTGGTCCAAGATATTGTCCACGGGCGATGTGGGATTTATTTCCAACAAAAACTGGATAATTTTCCACCCATTGCTAACTTCGACTGAGTCTACAAGTGAGAACAAATTAAAGCGTGTATTTTTCCAATCAATTGCCTTTCCAATGGGTTTAGGAAAGAGTCCTGCAGAAAAAAGGAAAAAAAAAATGGAGGTCAAAATTCAAATATAAAAAATGATGCTTCTTTTCTATGCCAACCTGTAGCCAACGTACTAAAGGCTTGCTTGAGGGATGTTTTTAAACCTATTTTTCTCCAAAATTATTTTCAAGCACACATTCTTCTAGAAATTATTTTTCACTTGAACAAATGCTAAATTAATAATTTGACAAGTTTACAGGATAATACTTCAAAGAAAAAAATTACTTCATAAATCCATATATCAGTACCACATGTTTAAGTGGCCTTAGTCAAATATAAGGTAAATCTCACCAGAGGTCCTCAACCTTTCGCAAGTGTTGCACCCATCTTTCCAACCTATATTTCGCAAGTGTCCTCAACATACGGGTAGCGAGGCAGGACCATGTTCCATACCCACCCAAGTCCCTGTACCGAGACAACAATCTCTAGTGTACCCAATTAGGCATGTAATCTCCATCCCCTTCAGGCCGAACCCCACGAATATCGAATTTAACAGGTTTATTTGTTATTCCCAGTAGTATGCCTCCTAATTCATTGTCCAGTAATGTGAATAAGGAAATTCATTGTGATTTAGATTGATGATAATCATGATCGATGATAGACACATAATGAATAATATATTGCCTTTGTTTGAGATCCATTTTTTTGGGAAAATGTGTTTTCAAATAGTGATGTTGTGGAGAATGTATGACTAAAAAACAGAAAAAAAAAAAAAAGGATTTACGTTTAAAATTATTTTATAGAAAAATGTATGATTGAAAATGAGTTTCGAGGAAAAAAAAAATAGGGTTCAAACAGTCGCAAACAATGCGGAGTCATATTTTTGAAAACACAAATAGTACCTTAAAATGCATAATTCGTGAATTTTACTTGTTTGAATAAAATTTGTGAGGCATAATTAGTGTGAAATGAAACATTCAATTCCCCTAAATTACAATAAAACGGATGTTATGGTCGCAAAAATATTGATTCGTCGAAGTTCCAATTTTCCTGCTGGTCTAGTCGTGTTTAATGTATTGATCCATCATATGAGCGTAGAAAGGTGGAATTTTGCTGATGACTTGTTACAAGACTAGAAGATATAAAATCCAGTCAATCCTTAACGTAACAAACAATTTATAAGAGTTTAGGATGGTGGGATTTTGTTAATAAAATTCGACAAGACTTCGACAAAAGGTGGAATTTTGCAGATGACTTGTTACAAGACTAGAAAATATAAAATTCGGCCAATCCTTGACGTAACGAACAATTTAGAAGAGTTTAGGATGGCGGGATTTTGTTAATAAAATTCTACAAGACTTCGACAAATGCATGGAAGTCAAAGCAAATGAGTTGATTTCATTGAATTTAGTTATAGAATATTAAAAAAATTTATTCACTTAGTTACCATTCAATAAAATATATAAAAGCATTTATAAATAGTCAAATTTTATTTTCAATCGTATATTTTAATGGACTCACAAATATTATCCATTTATCTGTTAGTCACTATTATAAATTAAACCATTTATACATTATTTCCATCATTGAGGCTACAACTTACATTGAGGATGACATTCTTAATGTTTTCAAAACGTGGTGGGTGGGAAACCAGTTTTTTTTTTTCCTGTCTAATGATGTGTTGACACGTGGTACAATGTAAAAAATGATGTACATATAGCATGATTTTTTTATTTGACAACATCTGGTATAATTATTGAATATAAGAATCTATACGTTTTCATTTTAAACATGCTCTTTACGCTTATTCATCAAAGACCTAATAATATTGAAAATGAATTAATTTTACATCAAAGGCATATGCACATTTTTCGAAGGAGAGACTAAAATGCTATGTTGTATTGAATACTCTTAAGTAAATTATTTAGGAATATTTCCAATAGACTCTATTAGTCACATTCTCTAGAGTATCTTCAAAAGACCTTATATTATAGAGCATTTTGTACATAATAGAAATCATCTTTAAATTTAAAGAGTATAAATTTTTACACACCCCAACAAACTTTTTATTTTTAATTTTTCAATAATCACTTAGCCTCTGTTTAATAAATTATAAATCATTTATTAAAAAAAAATAGTAATGGATCCTACGAAATATTTGGATAATAATTCCATGTTTGGTGTGACATAAAAATTTGATGAAAATTTAAGTTAAAATCAACAATTAACTTTAATCATATGTTACATGGGTTCCATAAATTTTATTAACTTTACAATCACGCGTTTAATCAAATTTTATCAAAATATACTAAAATATATGATCTTTGACTACAAAAAAAATAGGGGTTAGATAAGTAAATTTTATGAATGTGTGCTTGAAATCAATATTTAACTTCGATTGAATTTATAGATACATAGTTAATTGGAAGCTAATGGAGGCTTATTGTTTTTTCACATTTTTCAATGTGTGTGTGTGTATATATTAGATGTCAATGGCTAAAATATTTAAATATAATTTGATTAATTTTATTTAATTTGATTAATTTGAGTAATGAAGAATTGAAACTTGCAATTTATTAAATGCAATAATTATAAAATAAAAATAAAGAGTGAGTTTATCTCTAAAAATATAGAGTCAAACTCACTCTATTTAAAAAGTTAAAATAAATAGCTTATTGAAACCTAATTTCAAGTTTTTCTTTAAAATAAAGAGCATTTTACTTTGTGAGAGTCTCTTAGAAATGGAGAATCTTCTACAATGCTATTTATTTTTTTTAAAAAAAATTATGTTATATAGCACTAGTAGTCTTAGAGCACCAATCTAACCGTAAGTATATGATAGATTAAAATAAATGAATTATAATTCTTGTATTTAATTAAACCTATAATTTAATGACATAAATTATGTCATCTAAACTGATGTTAAACACTAATGATGCTAAATAATGTTATCTTGAAAAAAACATACTGAAATATAAAGAGCATCTTGACTCCTTTTATAAATAAATAGTGAATAGTCTCATTGCTTTCTATAAGTACTCTTCATTTTGCTAATTATCATAAATAATTATGACCAGACCTTGGAAGAATTGCAATTAGGGTTCTAAACCTTTCAAATTATTGTAGATTATATCTAAACATTTCATTTTTGCATCTAGGTCACTAACCTTTAATGACGATGGCAGCTGAAGGACATGGGGATGAAATCCATCCATTCCTCTGTTAGTTGACCGAAAAATTTGTTATGATTTAAACGAATATAATAATATAGCAATATGAAAATTGAATTTAAAAAAATACATGATTTATGTGGTAAAAATGTACTACGGGTAGAAGAGGAGAATGTTATTAATTCATTGATGGAGGATTACAAATCATTGTGTAAAATGAAAGAATTGTTTTTTTCTAAAAATTTACTCCTCATATATATAGTGCAAGAAGGGCCTAAGATGTGGTGGAGTTCAACTACAATTAAGTCTATACAATAATGAAGTGTTTGGAATGAAATAAGATGAAAAAACCTTCTTAAAATCGCAAACTAACCAAACCCGATAAGATCGCTGTTCTAGTGGCAGTCTCACAATGGTGCCGCTCTACTGGCTGCCTCGCTGAAAGAGAACACCAATGCTCCTATTCTGGTAGCTCGAGCTAGACATGAGCACATAGCGAGCTCTTGTTCGCAATGCTTCCTTCTCCTTTTGTAAATTGGACTCCTTCAAGTGTTCTCTAAATCTAAAATAACTTTCGAACCCCTAATTACATTCCCAAATTGAATTCCAACTAAAATTCCAAATAGACTTCAACTAGAAATCTCAATTAGTATTCAAATAGAATTCCCAATAGTCTTCCAAATAAAATTCGGGTCACAGTCTAATTTTAACAAATCTCCACCTTGAACTGAATTCCACTACAATTAACAAAACTTAAACAATTCTCTAACTGGAGATAAATTCCACCGTAGAGAATAAAACTTAACTTCTCAACCAAAAAATTCTCCACCAAAAAACCTCCAAAAGAAAATAATTATCCACCTCTTCTAGAAAACCTAGGTAAACACAAAAAATTGATTATATACACAATTCCAAGCACCGTTTAGCACGATTACCTTGGGTACCAGAATTGCTCGAATTATTTGCACGAGCAACAAAATCACGAATAATTTAATAATCACCAAATAGGTCAGAAACATATCCTGCAACAAAATCAACACAAAATGCTTCTGGAGAAAGTTTTTTGCTAGACTTAA